TGGGAAAGCGGGACTATTTGAATCTACTGTATTTACGTTAGTAAATTCAGGGGGACTAGGATAATTTCCTTCATCATCGAAATTGATGGGATGGAAATATCTATCCATTGTAGTTAAAAAAAAAAATTGGATATAGAAAAAATAAAAAATTAAAGGAGTATTGGAATTTGGAAATATGAATTGAAAATTGCAAAAACTAATAAAAATTAAAATGAGAGCAAATTGACAACAAAGAGAATAATTGAGAGATTTCAATAGAGAAAATGAGAGAATGAGAGAATTTGGGATGTGAGAAAATATGAGAGTTTATGTCCTATTTATAGAAAAAAATGGGAAAAGAAAATGACCAAAAAGACCCTTCCAACTGCTATAAAACAGCTATATTTCAAGGGTAAAAGGGGTATTTGCAATAAAAAATTAATTAATTTTTTTTTAATTTTTTTGGTCCAACTTGAAAACGCCAAACCCGGCGGGTTGAAAACACCAAACCCAGCGGGTTGGATGGGTTATTTTTTTAAAAAATATACAACCCGTCGGGCCACCAGGTTGGTCTATGAAGACCTGGCCCGCCCGACGGGGTATACGCGGGCGGTTGACTCACCTAACCTGGCCCATTTGTTTCACCTCTATGGAAAACAATCTAAAAGGTATTATGGTTGGATAGTTATGGAGTTAATTTGTTGTATGATTGGAAATAATGCTTATTAACATAGCTCATAATTGATTGATGTCCATATATAGGTGGGACCAGTCATTCCGTACTAAAGAATGTCAGGAGACCTTTTCAGCCTTAAAGGGCAGCAAATGCAAAGGTACCAACATTGCAACTCGTAAACCTACCAATGCATTTGGTAATGAAAGATTAGAATTGTTTGCTAATGTAAATGAATGATGAACATATGTAGGTGCCACAAATCAACTAAGGTCAAGTAGGCAATTGGCAAACAAAATGGGAGGGGTTCTTTGAACAGTAGTATGTTTGACCTCCACATGGGGTACGAAACTGTTTTACAATTAAGATGCTTCAGGCCATATTTACATAGTATGTTTACCTCATATGATTGACTGCATATTTTTGTTTTGCAGCAAATTGTGGAGGAGTTTTAAAGGAGACAACTTGCACAATTTCATAAGATTGGACTGCATGTGGTTTTTTATGTACACAGAATAAATCTACAAAGGGAAGGTGCTAAAGTGGATTGACAAATTTGACATATTCTCAAGAAAATATGTGTTCATTCCTATAATCCTCTGGTGAGTGAAGATTTTGTGTCCGTATGCATTTGTGTTTTACTTACCATGCGTGGACATGAGTTGATTTCGTTGCTTAAGACTTGACATTGATAATATGCATAAATTATGTTGATAGGGGTTATTGGAGTTTACTGATTTTGTGCAACTTTTGTGGATATGTGAACTTGGAAATTAAAACTTGATGTATGGTGCTGCTTGATACGCTCGGATCGAATAACGGAATGAGGCTACAACCTCTGATTCGACAGTAAACTTTGATTATTTCCCAATTATTTGCAAGCACATTTGAGCACATGATAAGCTGTGTTGTTGGAGATGTGGAACTGGAATGGGTTTGAAATTGTCCAACTTTAATTATGCAAATTTGTGAGGGATATTTATAAATCAAGAACAATGCCCAAGCATCCAGCATTGGTTGATAAAGTGCCTTTGCTAATGCCTAAGGTGATAAAACAGTATATTGTGTTGGTTAATGGTAAATATTGGTTGATCTGTTCAGTATTTCATGTATTTGTTGTGATCGAAAAATGCACTCACTAGGTCCCTCAACAACGAAATGACATGGATTATAGATATTTCGTACTGTATTACATAACGAAGTTTGTGGAAGCTACCCCAAAAGATTTTTCAATCAATGATGGGTATCCTTACTTTTTAAGTACTACAGCCATTTAATTGATCAGGGTGGTTTGTTTATTGTCTCTTCAATTATAATATGTAGGTTATTGTTGTTGTTGATTTTTATTCTCAACAGATGACGCAGGATTGGTTTACCCTCGCTGAATTTACAACCTTCCGTGATAAACTGTTGTGCGAAGTTGAGTAGCATAGGCTGCGTTTTATTCATTTATGTATGACTATTGTGTAATTTATATTTGCGGATGTCAGATTGAGTTCACTTAAAAAATTGCGGAGATTAAGTTCACTCTTACAACGTGCGGAATTATGTATTATTATTGGTTCACAGATTTAAAGAGCATCGTTATTCTGCTTGTAGTTTACTTATTGGTACATTGCTTGGATTAAGGATATTGTAAATGCACAGGTACTCCAAAATATGTGATATTACAATTGTACCAACAATTTTCACACATAATTTTGGTCCACGATAAGTGGAAAAAGTTAACAAAATTCCTCAAATATAAAAACTTGCATCTGAATTCCAGTAATGGTGTAAACAAAAAAAAAAAAAAAAAAATACAATTTTTCTTTTGCCTTGAAAAAAAGAGGCTTCAATTGGACTAAAGTAGAAATCAACATACAAGAACTATAATTTGGGGTAGTATACTAATCAGAGTTTTAAATTGGGAGATGTGAACTATATTAGTTGCAATAACATGGTGAGGTGTTGAATGTATAGCCAACAAAAAATACAATAGCTTTTTTTTGGAGTTTCAATAGTCTGTGTAAATTTGTCAATAAATAACTTAATAATAAAATACTTTGCTAAAATATAAGAAAAGGAATTTTGTTAATTAATCATTTGTTTTATTAACCAAACACATTAATTATTTATACCCAATAATCATCTAAAGGGCATTTTAGTAAGATGTAATCAAGACATCTACTCTTACAGCCAACCAAAGAGATTGATTAGTAATACAAGTAATCTTCCAAAGGGCATTCTAGTAAAAGGTCATTTCAAAACATCTATTAGTACTGACAACTAAACACATTAATTATTAATACAACCCAATTAAACCAAGCACAGTAATAATTTAAACCCAGTAATCTATCTTTTCAGTAATCTTATTACTAAGACACAAAAACATTATATGATCCAAACGCTCCCTTATTAATAAAATTTTTGGACAATAATGCCCTCATTTTAAAATCAATTTACATTAATCTAACTTTTACAATTTTACCCTTGTTTAATTAAGTTTTTGGATAAAATTACCCTTGAATTCAAAATAAATTGCAGACCACAACTGCCACCCAGTGACTATCGTCGAATGCTGTCGGAAGTCGTCAAAAGTAGTTGGGAGACGCCGAGAGTCACCGGGAGGCTCCGATATGGCCGTTTTTGGCCATATTGATTAGGGGTGTGGAGATCCGGTTAATCGAACCGGATTACACATTTTTCAAACCGAACCGGTTTTTCAGTTCAGAGGATAATTCGAACCGAACCGAATTATTATTTGAACCGATTATTAACCGAATAGATAATTCGATTCGGTTACTGGTTAACCGGTTTATAAACCGATTTTAATAAAATTTGAAATTGCCCTTTTAGAATAGCAAGACATCAAATGGGTGCCTCAAAGCCGTCGATTTCAAATACCCCAAATCAGAATCCAACGCTTACACAAACTAACACCTGAAGAGACGCACATAATCAGTCTCACTTAGTCTCATTGAGACATCTCATAAACAAAAAAGCAGACGCAAAGCTTCCAAACATACCCTAAAGCTAAAAATCTACCAAACCATCAAAGAAGAAGAAGGCTGAAGTCCAATCATGACGTTCTCTTCTCGTCTCTTATCCAAATCCAAACAGAAAAGCAGTGAAAGAGAAGAAATGGAGAAGACAAAAAAGAAAAAAAAAAAGAAAAGTGAAAGGAGAAGAAGACGAAAAAGAAAAGGAAAAGTGGAGAAGGAGAGGAAGAGAAGAAGACGAAAAAGAAATAGAAATTGGTGAAGGAGAGGAAGAGAAGAAGACGAAAATGTGAAGAAAAACTGAAAAAAGAAAGAGAAAGCAGTGAAAGGAGAAGAAGAAAGAGAAAATAATGAAAAGAGAAGAAGACAAAAAAAAAAAGTATTTGCGTGGAGAAGCAAACCCAAGAAAATGCACAGAGAAGCAGACTGCAGTTCTGTGTACCCAATACCAAGAAAAAGTGGGGGAAAAAAGGGATATTTTTATTTTTTTCAAAACCGATTTCGGTTAACCAGTTTAATATTATCCTTAAACCGTTAACCGAACCGAAAATTTAGTTTAATCATTTTTGAAAACCGAAACTGAACCGATTAATTTGAAAAACCGGTTTTTCGGTTCGGTTTGGTTTTCAATATTTTTTTTTTTTTTCAGCCCTAATATTAATGGCAAAAAACGGTCATATCGAAGTAGATCTGGCCAAGACTAGCTAGATCTATTCTAGCCCATTTCTGGTCAAATCCATGGCCTTTAACAACCATATCTGACCTAGGTATGGTCGTTAAAGGACATGGATTTGGCCGAAAATTGTCAGAATAGATCTGGCCATTTTCGGCTAGATCTATTCCGATATTTCATTTTTAGCCATCAATATGGCTAAAAACGACCATATCGGAGCCTCTCGATGACTCTCGGCTACTCACGATGATGTCTAGCGACTTTCGATGACTTTCGGCGACTTCTAGCGACGAATGGCGGTGGTGGGCAGTGACTTGGGGTGGTAGGGGTAATTTTGTTATAAATTAAAGTTTTATATAAATGGGAGTGTTTTAGCTAAATCTGAAATGTTGGACGTTAAAATAATTATTTAAAAATTAATAATAAAAATAATATTATATTAATATTTAAAAAGAAGGCAATGTAGTAATTTAAATAACATACCCACCAATTTATTCATCTCAACCAAACATATGAATAGAACATACCCACAAATTTATTCCAACTAGCCAAACGCATTTTCTTAAAGATTCGCAGTAATCTTCAAAGTAATCTAACTTTTTATTAATATAACATTTCTAGTAATCCAACATTCTCTAAACCAAATGCATACATAAAGTGATCTGATTGTCAAAAAGCAATCTCTGATAACACTATAGTATTAGAGATAAATCACGAGGGAGGGCGAAATGTTACCCTCGGTACTTTTAACAATGACCTATAATCTTATATCCATGCATGGAGTATCATATATCTTCGCAAGTCTTACACAATTCTATAATCTCGACAAACACTATAGTACCGAAGATAATGTTGCTTATAGTGATGACCCATGGATCTTGGTCAGCACCAGAGGTGGGGGGACCTAGAGGTGGCAATGGGTCGTACCGACACAACCCACAAATTTTTTGGCATGGCTCACCATGGCACAACACGAAAATTTTGTGTCGTGCCATGGCCCGTGGACCGGCATGGCACGACCCACGAATTTAAAAAAAAATTCAAATGTAGCTGTTGCAATTGTGGGTTGGTCCATGAAGGCATGACACAGCACGATCTACCAAGCCATGGGCTGTGCTGTGGGTCTTGAGTTTTGGTTGTCTGCCATGGCATGATGGGCTGTGAAAATTTTGGCACAGCACAGCCTATCACCACCTCTAGGGGGAACGTTAACTCGAATACATTAACAATTTCCCGATAATCTATTTTCATACAATGAGTAACATATATTCTCAGAAGTGGAAAGGCAATGAAATTGGAAACAAAAAGAGACAAGATAGTAAATTGTATATGTATACAAAATCTGACATTTCAAGTGAATGTGAACGCACGTTTAGCAGAGTCAAGGGTATTGGAAAGTAGCATAGAAATGGCAACAGGTCCTATACCTCCTGGCACTGGGGTTATGGCTGATGCCACCTTAATTGCTTCTTCAAAGCAAACATCTCCTGTTATCCGGTAACCATTCCGACAACTCGAGTCCTGCAAATTATTGTAACAGCGTCTGATCATTATTGAAACAATGCAAGTAGTGGAGTGCTAAATGAATGTATATGCGATAGAATTTTATTGGATGATCGAACATATGATATAGTATGATGCCTATAAGTGGAACTGGGGAATTTCCCTTTTTCCCATTACAATAAAAACATGATGCAAACATTGTTGCCATAACTTAAAAAGAAGACAACATTGAACGTGGTGATAAGAAATATTGGTTGCTCCTGATGATCCTGATTCTGAAGGAGACATAGTGTAAACACATCGAATTGATAATCAGGCAAATGAGAATGCATTGCAGATCATGTAAGGCAAGTCGAGGTTATCTTCTTTTCTCCTTTATCTGCAGAATACTCATTCTGCTATGTTATTTTGGGCATGCTTACATTACTTGTTAAAGAATGACAAGCTGAGAAACGTGTCTAGATTTCATTTCTTAAAATAACCACGTAAAGCCATGCAAATACGAAGATGAATAATATACACAAAAATGCATAAATCAATGCGTCTTTCAAGCTAATTATTATTAATTTGATGAGAAACTGTGAATGCATTTATAAAAAAAGTAAAAATGTTAGAAGTATATATAAGACTAGATCGCCAGAAGAAGCAAAAAAGTAATCAGGGTTAAGCAAAATCTATACAAAGGTATAGTCGATAACAAACAAAATCACAGCTATAAACCACAAAAACCCCTCCTATACAAGATAGCACCCTAGGGAAACAATTGTTATAGGGTGGTAAAAAAATCTCTTTCGTTACGACCCCACTCCCCAAATAAGTTCATCCTTTAGAACCGCATCCCAGTTGAGATGAACGAAGGTAAAAGAGTAGTCCTGAAAATCTTAGGAAACAGAAGTCCAAATGAAAGCTAGAAGCGTAAGCCTGTTCCACAACTCTTCTTTGTCAACTCGAAGATAAACTGGTTTCTTTCCTACCAGATTACCTAAAACGCAAGCAGAAACAGCCCACTACAATAGAATATTGATTGACTTCTCTCTCTATATACCACATCCACCAAGAAGAGATATATGGGAAAAGTAACTTAAAAAATCAATGCAAACAACAATTTAAGTAGTCTGACCATAAAACTATAAAATAAAGTAATTTCTGATATGTTTAACCTTTCATAAAACATCACTTATCATTTATCTGAACTCCCAAGTATAGCTTGGTGACTTAATTAGCAAATGATTTGTAGCCCACAGCAGATTCTCTATTGAGATTTTAACAATACTGTAGTTTGCACGTTAGTTTAGTATACAAAAAAAAACTCATCATTTTACTTATTCTACATATGCACTCCCAATGAGGTTTTAATAGGGGCTATTGAGTGTATTAGTAAAATTCGAAGGTAAATTTCCAATGTATGCACACCAAAATATGCAAGTTGAAAGAACTAGTGTTCAGTTCTCTACTTCTACTCTTTTTATTACAAAAGGTTTTAATTACCTTTACTGGATTTGTACCCATATCAATTACAAATGCTCCTGGTTTTAGCCAATCGCCACGAACAATGTTAGGAACCCCAACATCTGACACCACAATATCGGCTTCAGAAGATATATGCTCTGGATTCTTTGTAAATGCATGTAAAGTGCTGACAGTTGCATGGTGCCTCTGCACACCCACACAAAATTAAACAAACAAATAATAGTCGAAACTAACTTTCTACACCAAGTTAGAATGATTTACCTGCAGTAGCAAGGAAGTAGGCAACCCAACAATTTTGCTTCTCCCAATTACCACAGCCTTCTTTCCGATGATTTCCACTCCAGACCTCAGCAACAACTCAATGCAAGCCTTAGAGGCAAAAGGGATGAATAACGGCTTTCTTCCTCTCATGGCAAGATTCCCCATATTGAGGGGATGGAAACCATCCACATCTTTTTCTGGACTCATAAAATTTATAATCTTTTCCTCGTCCAAATGCTGCATCAAACAGTAAATTTAGTAATTATATAACAAAGTCAGGACTTTGTTTATGTCCAACCCATACTAAATTGGATCAAACTAAACTGTAAAAAATAAAGAAAATTTCAAATCCTATCATTCCCTCAAATGAATTTTCATAACGAAAAAAAGTTTCTTAATAGAAAAAATGGATATGATATAGTCTCACTGATTAAACAACCGACTTGTCACAACGGAAAAAGAGAACACTAGAAGACAATCGTGATCATTTAATTGGTGGCCTTCCATGCATAACTTGGAGATCTGTGACATCTTCACCATTAGCTTTCATCTGATTGACAAGAGCTAATGTCCGCAAAAAAGAATCAGAAAGAATTTCTGATTTTTCCATCTGAAGAAGTTCAAATTTCCTCCGAAAAGTCTATAATCGAACTTTTTTCACTGTTCCTTTGTAGATATTCGTCAACATATCCCACACCCTTTTTTGCCGTTGTTGCGTGTGCAACTTTCTCGAAAAGACGCTGTTCAATCAACTGATTGATATACAGACGAGCCTTTATTAAAAATTAAAAAATCTTTTTTTCGGTTATCTGCCAACCGCTTTCTTTGATCTTGTGTTAATCCCGCTTGATCCGCTGGTACAACAAATCCTTGATCTATAATCTCCCAAAGATCTTCATATTCAAACAAGAGTTGCATCTGAACTCACCAAAACTCCAAATTCGTCGAATACTTAAAATGCCATAATGTTATAGATTCCGAGTTCTGGTCATAACATTTTAAGAAACAAGAAATTTAAGCAATGGTGGCTATAATATGCATATATATTTGCACGAAGGGTCCTGGTAAATTTAACAATGCTTCTAAAGACTCAAGATGTTAATTCTTTGTTAAACTTTCAAAGGCATAATAAATTGGGGAAAAGGGGGCAAAAACTCAAAATTTTTGAAGCAGTAGCAGAAATTACTTTGGGTAGAGGAAGTTGCACAATAATACCATGTACGAATGGGTTCTCATTGAATCCTGTAACAACGTTAAGAATTTCTTCTTCTGAGCAATCTTCAGGCAGCTTTGATACCGAAGATGCTATTCCAACTTCATCACAAGCTTTTAACTTGAAGCGGATGAAAGTATCAGAGTCCCTTCTGTCACCCACCAAAACAAATGCCAAGCCAGGTGATTTTCCAATGGAAGCTTTCATTCTGCCTATTTCATTAGCTATCTGTACTCTTATATCCTGAGCAATCGACTTGCCGTCAATTATTGCAGCAGCCTGTCTATTAGTAACTATGCATTTTAAAAAACAAACATGTTAGTACTTTAAAGATAACGTGTACAGATAATGAAAATGTGATGAAGATGCACACAGAAAAAATAAGAAGGCAGAAGACATGACTAGATAGTTAAAAGCACGAAAAATTAGCATCAATATTTTCTAACGATATGAACAGCCAAATTCAGTAGCAAAGCTAGGAATTTAAAATATACACGGAAAGACTGATCAAAATTAAGATCTAAAAAAATTCAACAAAAAAATAGTTACTAGAATTTTGATATTGATTGATCATTATTTATATTCAATACAACTACAATTGTTGTAGATACATTTGTATATTTTTAGAACAATGTATCAATGAAGCAAAAACATAAAAACATTTTCAAATAGAACTGCATGTAACCTTTTTCCCATTTTGTTAAATAACACAACTGAATCATTATGATCTGCAAATATTGCAAATCAATGAAGAGAGGTTCAAATATTCACTTTTGAACATATTCATTGTCTTCTCTTGTGAAATGACCTATTTATATATACAAACCCAAAGATTGCAGCGTTCAACAGGAGCTCAAGTTTCGAAGCCAGGCTTGCAAAGCAAGTTCCGGGGGAAATCTGGATTCTCAAATATTATATATATATATATATATATATATATATAGACACACACACACACACACACAAACCCATCCATAGAAACTGATGTACACCATAATAACATTGCCACATTATCCATTTTAAATTATTAAATCCACTTTTTTCTTTCCTCTTCCATTAAAATTAATCTGCATCAGTTTGTATTATTAGTTAATAACTCTAGCATTATTGTATTAATAGTTAGTGACTCTAGCATTATTACTGTACAAATTATAGCAGAACACAGCTTAAATTTCTTGAAATTTCCTGTTCCCTTACTTTCATAGCAAAAAATTATATTTATATTCTAAACTAAATAATAAACATTCCAACTGAAGAGTTGTACTTTAAGCTAAAGTAAATTGAAGAAATCACCAAAATAAAAAAATTACTTTCAATAAACATTTCAACTGAAGCCCTTTTCTTTTCAAAACTAAAGGGGACTAATTTTCACTCACATTTTCAATAACTTTTCCCAATAATGTAAACCAAGAAGCCAAAATTATGTGCTTTTAGGTTTTATTAATCTTCAGCAACTCAAATTAAAAACCCAAAAGATACAAAAATCATGGAGCAAAATCCCTTAAACAAATTACCAGAAAACTAATTCAAGAGAATGAGCAAGAAGACTGCTCAAAGAGAGCTTACAGGAGTTGGGGCTGCTAGCAGTGTTGACATTGTAGCTAGTGCCACGTGGGATCCAAACGTCTGGGAGATTGGGGCCAAGAATGGTGCTTAGACCGCTTGAACTTGAAGTGGAAGTAGAATTTCCAGACAACCCTTTTCTTTTAAAAGTTCGCCAAAACACCCCTTCGCCGCCGCCGCTGCCCCTCATTCTATTGCTGTATCTCCACCACACCATCAACTGGGTTTGGCTTTCTCATGCACAGCCACCCCTTGCCACCTGCAACAGACGCCACATACTGGATTCCAAATTTTGATTTGAAAAACTAGTGATTAATAACCTATCACCCTTTTAACTTGAGAAACTAACAATGTGACCCCCTAAATTTCCAGTTTTAAGATGTTGAAATATAATGAGAGAAGGGTAATGACGTCATTTCAAATTGCCACTGTATATTTTATGTAATAAAATTCCATTCATAAATAAATAACTTTTGTATACAATGTATATTAATATACCTTAGTTCATTTTTATATTTTTTTTTGTTATATAAGATATATGTACATCGACAATTTTTTTTTTTTTTTTTAACATTTTATATATGTGTATACAAAAATTCTTAGGTTTGAACGTTATGAAATTTCTAATATGTAAAACAAAGGTATATATATACGTATATATATTCTTAGGTTGTGAATGTCCCGAAAATTTTAATGAGTAAACTAAAGATGAGTACTGAATTGTTGGTTATATATAATTCTCCGATGCAGACGTTATAAAATTTTTAATGTGTGGACTAAATATGAGCACTCTGTTGCTTGCTATATGTATATTATAATCCTTGTTTTTTAGGTTTTTCCAATTCCAGTTTGATAACTAAATTTGAATCATTTGGGTATAATATAGGAGGCAAAAGTGCAACTGGATATACAAAAATAAATCAGAAAAATAATTTAATATTCACTTATAATTTTTTTTTTTTTTTTTCCACTTGAAAACAAGTTTTGAATATTATATTTGACAAATATTCAGAATTATAAACAAAAAGATAGAACTCAAATATTTTAAATTAGGGAAGCAATTTTAAGCCCCATCTAATTGACTAGTAGTAGTATATATATGTGTGTGTGTATATATATACACCCCCATTCTACTTTACGTTTTATTTTAGTTTTTAATATTTAATTCTTACATAAACTGTAATCCTAAATTTTCATAATTATTGAAATCTTTTATTTCATTTCAATTATTTTTTTGTTTAAAAAAATATATTACTAAATCTATGAAGAAGGTAATCACCCAAGGGGTGAATCTAAATTTGACGAAAAAAAAAAAGTAAAGAAAAAAATGAGTTTCAAAATTGTAATTATTAAAAGGGGTGTAAAAAAAACTTATTAAATTTGAAATTGAGGAAAAGAGGTGGAAAAATAATTCTAATTAAGTTTGAAATTGGAGAAAATTGGTGAAAAAAAAATACCCTTATTTATTAATTAAGTTTATGAGGTTATTTTCGGTATTAAACGAGGTTAATTAAAGAGATCAATTTTAAATAGAGTTAACGGCATGTTCCCACCCAAAAAATGGTCCATTGATAAATTCATACCCACCTATTTTTAAAATTCCCTTTTAGTATCCAAATATTAAGTTTGGGTTGGGAAATACGTTAATTTCTGAAAATACCCTTAGCCTCTTCCATTGCCGGCTGGGAGTTGTGTGCGACAATAAATCAAACAGGTGGTGAATGATGCTGGGGCACGGAGGTTGGATGATCTGGGAGATAATGGTGGCCGGAAAAAACACAACACAAAGACAACCAATCAAAAGCCATTGATTGAGCACCAAAAACACCAACGATTTGCGGAGGAAGCCGCCGCAAATGGTGACTGTCCCACGATGGAAAGAGCTGGACACAAGCAACAAATGGCGAGCATGGAAGGTTGGGGGAGGGGTGGGTTTTGAAAAGCAGAGGGTGGGGAGTTGAATGGTGGTGGCAGGGAGCATTTTGAGTGACTGAATCGACTAGAAAAAGTCCAAAAAGATGGGGAATCGTGCAAAAACTCAAGTAGAAATTTCCGGCAATTGGCAGGTGCACTTGGCTCGGGGTGAACGAATTAAGGGTGAAAAAGGCTCAAGGAATAAGATGGAGGAAGCAATGAGTTTCATGGTGGATTTTCGACACCAAAAATCCGGCTTCAATGTCGATCATGTGAATGGAGGTGGTGATGGGAATGGTGAGTGGTGACGGAAAAGGGTGGCTTGGGCTTTATAGAGGAGGTGATAGAGATTCTGTGGGTGGCCTTGGAAGTGATTTTGGACGCCAGGATATGTCGGAAAACGGCAAAAACCGTCGCCATCTCCTTGCTAACGTGCGCCTCCCCTTTTCTTTTCTCTTCTTTGGTGGCCAAATGTTTGTTGACCATTCTATCCTCACTAATAACGAACGCTTGACCATTTTACCCTTCCCCACAACAAAAATTACGAACATTTGGGTACTAAAAGGGTATTTAAAATGTGGGTGGGTTTGAATTTGTCAATGGGCCATTTTTTGGGTGGGAACATGTCGTTAACTCATTTTAAATATAATAAATGTGTACTTAGCGATGGTGGAATTTGTGAGGATTTTTAGTTTGTATATTTTGTGTGTAAATTTGATCTCTTTCATAACAAATTCCATGGCTTGAAAGGATGTCGGTTGGCGATGTGGCTAGGAGTGCTTCTTCAGCAGGTAGAACGTGTCTTCTCTTCAGTCACTCACTCCTGCTGTGCAGCAGGTAGAACGTGTCTTCTCTTCAGTCACTCACTTCTGCTGTGCCACATTATATCTTTTCAATTGCAATTTTGTTATTTACGTTGGGTTGTTTCCTTGTTTTTAGTGGGTTGTTACATTTATGATTGTATTTAAACATCATGTAATAATGAATAAAGGAGTATTATTCCACTTACGTATACATGTTATCGAGTTCGTGGTTTCCTCCATCAAACCACCTTGTTTTAATTATTCAATTCAACACTATAGGTCCCAGTAAGAAAGAAATCCAATACTTGCCATTAACATTCTTGTTTAAAGTAAATAATTTATTATTTTAATTAATTTCTTAAAAATCAAAATATTTATTAAAATGTTATAGATATTCATTACAAAAGAATATTTAAGTTTAATTTAAATTAATATTTATTATTCAATCAATTAATTATAAGCTTTATTACCCATACAATGGATCTTGCAATCAAATGTTGTTCTCTATTAAATCTTTTATTCGTAAACTTTTCATTTCATTATTTAAAATTAAAAAAAAAAAAAATTTTATCTTTATGTTATATTAAATGAGATAGCACTTTGTTATGCTATGTTATATCATATACTATTTTTGTAATTTGTTATGAAATAAATACTTTTATAATAAATAGTTGAAAAACACTTTTTTAATTGACAACTAACAACTCTTTGATAAAAGTTATATTTGTACGAGCTTTAATCTATAAACTCTATATGCTACAAGCCTTTCTAGAAACTCTATTTATACGAGCTTTATATATATATATATACTGTTATGTTTAAAAAATTAGGACTGACGTTACCTTACGTCAGTGGACACCAATTAGAGTTCAGGAAAGCTTTGTACCACCTAAGAGCTGTCACGTTGCTCTATGACAGAAAGAATATGGTTATCATCAACTTGACAGATTCAGGTTTTGTCTATGAGTGATAGAGGGCCGCACGCTTGTTCAAGCCCCAAGTAATTTGAGGATATTTCCTAAGTTACCAGCCAATGGGAGGCAATTAATGACTTGCACGACACCTACCCACTTGCAGATTTGTAATCATTACATTGAATTCCTCTACTATAAATAGAGGACTCCCCCTCTCATTTTCGGGATTCTGATCTTGAACCCTCATTTTGATTGTAATCTTTGTTTTCAGAGCAAAGATAACCCGCGAGAAAAAGAATGACTTGATATTCTCTCTGAATACTCAGTTATTGTATCTCTGCTCGTTGTTCGCTATAAGTGACCTCTTGTAATCTCTCATATATAAAAGAAACAATGGATGTAGGATTCGCTTTAGGCATCCGAACCACTTTAAAAATCATATATCTCATTTATTATTCAGTCTTTGTATCTGATCATAATCATTCACGTGTAATTTCTAAGAACAGCTTAGCACTTTGCATGTGTGAGTCGTTGGTGTCAAAATCAAGTATCAACAGTTTGGCGCTAGAAGTAGGGCGTGATTTATTATCTGCTCTTCATCAAGAATCTCTGATCAATTAGCTTAACTCGTGAACAAATGGCTCGTGGTCTTGAAACCGAGCGAACTAGCACCAACAACGAGGAGATCCCCTGGGTACAGAATGTTACTTCTCCCAAAGTACCTCCAACTCTGCAAGGTATCACGGCAGATATCCCATCAACCTCTCAACTCGACCCAGCTGTGATGAATTACCAGGAGAGGTTCAACAATACTCTCCAAACGGTTAGCTGAAGGCTAGATTGTTTGGATCAGGTCGTACCACCCAATTCTGACAAGGCAGTGGTGCCACCAAAGACACCTATAGGTTGTGCTAAAGCGCGGAAACGGGAGAAAGCCCATGTCGTGTGCACTATGGCGCATAAAGACAAGGGAAATCAAGTGGCAAATAATGGGCCAAAAGGCTCAAAAGGACCAGTGAATACCGGTCATGAAGCGAGTAGAATATTTGTGGCTTTGTGACTTAGTGGTATGTCGCATCATGAGCCGTCCCACGCCACATCGCATGGGCACCCCCGCAAGAGTGCAAGGCAAGGAGACTCTCATTATCGTTGGAATGATGGTTTCAATCATCACCGCGAGGGAAATGCCCAGCATCCACAGGTCGGTTTTGACCACCGTGGAGGTCGGGATAACTCCCCTAGCTATTCAATGCCTTCACATGGGTCCATCCAGCATGTGTCAAGGTATGCCGAAGGCTTTGGCCAAGGCGGGGAAGAGTTCGATTTGTGATCTTTCTTCAATCGCAATCATGAGGGGCGAACCCATGTTGCAGAAAGTGATCCCCAGGTAACTCTACTTCCTTAGATTGAGGAGTTACAACAAGCTCTAGATCAGCTTAGAGCTCAGCAAAATGAGCGAGGGCAAGTCGTTGAGGCATCTCCCTTTTCTTAGGTAGTGTTTATTGCTCCTCTCTCATTAAGGTTTAGAATGCCCGATATGCAAGCGTTCGATGAGAATTCTAATCCGCATGATCATTTCTATGAGTTTACGACCTCATGGAGCTTCACCAAGTTTCCAACTTGGCGTAATGTCGCTGCTTAGCAGTGA